AATTTATATAATTTATTTATTTCTCTTGGTGTACAGCTTATAGATGAATCACTGAAATATAAATCAGCTCTACTGATCTTTTCTTTATATAAATTACCAGACTGCATTTGGCCTGCATTTGACAAGATTATAGATCCTTTAGGTGGGTATTTGGCTGGAGTGAACACAAGTTGGAGCTTGGGCCTCTCCATATAGATATTCCTTTTTCCCAGAGTGTCTATCAAATTGTTTCACAGAGAAGTAAGTTTTGGGTCACATAACAACATCTGTGCTCTTAAAGAGTTGTCTGCCTTGGCTGCACCAAGGAGCATCAGTTCCCGACTGCTGAGATGGGAATCATCCAATACAGTAATTCTGGGATGAAGCATTTGAGATGGAAGTAATGAAAACCCCTGCCACTTTCCATATCTGTGCAAAAATGGTTAAAGTGGAAAGGGGAAAGTGGCCAGTCACAAAGAGGGAGGATAGCATTGAATCTGAGTCTGGATTTAATGAGAACTGTATCTATGTCCATGTAGGATTTGTACATGTGCTACTAATTTTTGGCAAACAAAAATTCTGTAAACTTGTAATTGTTCTCTGATTTCATTGTGAGTGGTTCACATTGTTCAATTGAGTATGTTCTGTTTACATCTCATATGTTGTTACCATCCTCTGAATTTATGAAAATATATCTTTTTCTTTCTGTGACTGTTGATAGCATAAGTAATAATAGTACCCTTTTATCATTCTACTATTTCCATCCTTTCAGTAATGGCATTGCAAAGCTTTCGTTATTTTTCTGGAATAAGTTTTGTAAGTGGAAGTCTCAAAAAAAAAAGAAAAGTGACAGTATAAATGCACTGTGTTACAGTTTCTTCAGGTGAGAAGCAACTAGTGGCATATATTTCTTGTATGTTACTTGGAATTGGATCTGTTATTACTTTTACATCAGCCATGGGATTCCTTGGAAGTGTTAAGGAAATCAAACGTCTACTAGTTACAGCAAGTGTAAATCAGACTTCAACTTTCTCGTAAAATGAAAAGGAGTTTTGTGTGCATGAAAACTGTAATCCTGTCTTGATGTTGTGATTTCCACATACAGTGCTTAACAAATCTGCTGATAGAAAGACAATTTTAGATAAAGTCGTGGCTCAAATGAAATCTGAATAAAACTGAAGATTCTTCCATATCACTGCATGAATGTTTTCAATGACAAAACACTTGCAGTTTGATGCAGCAAAGATTTTAACCGCTGTATTTATTAACTTAGAAGTTCCAAAATTAATTTAGTATTGAAATTATGCAGAGTAACTATGTCTCATTTTGTGCTCAAATGCTTAGTATGTGCTGAAGAAATAAAGAAAAGCCTGCCACAAAATATTGCAGGTTGAACGCACAAGTAGCTACAATATGGCTACAATATCGAAATGGAGAGTGTGATTAAAAAGCTGTTACCTATGTAGACCTACCTGGATACTCCATATTTATATACCATTCCT